GCCTTCTAACTCCTTGTCTAAGTCCTTTGTTTTCTTTTTTCTGTCTCTCTCTTCTATGTGGTCACTCTCTCCCTTACCTATTTACCCATTTTCTGTGTCTTGTGCCTCCTAGTTTGCACCCTCTTTATATTGGCTCTTTCCTCCCTCTATCCTCAGTGTTTTCTTTCTCTTCTCTGCCTTCTAACTCCCTGTCTAAGTCCTTTGTTTTCTTTTTTCTGTCTCTCTCTTCTATGTGGTCACTCTCTCCCTTACCTATTTACCCATTTTCTGTGTCTTGTGCCTCCTAGTTTGCACCCTCTTTATATTGTTTCTTTTCTCCCTCTATCCTCAGTGTTTTCTTTCTCTTCTCTGCCTTCTAACTACCTGTCTAAGTCCTTTATTTCCTTTTTTTTATCTCTCACTTCTATGCCGTCACTCTCTCTCTCTTCTATGTGATCACTCTCTCCCCTACTTGCCTTCCGTGTCTTGTGCCGCCTAGTTTGCAGCCTCTTTATATTGGCTCTTTCCTCCCTCTATCCTCAGTGTTTTCTTTCTCTTTTCAGCCTTCAAACTATTGTGTAAGTTCTTTGTTTCCCTTTTTTTTGCTCTCTCTTTTATAAGGTCACTCTCTCCCTTACCCTACCCGTCTTCTGTGTCTTGTGTCTTCTAGTTTGCATGCTCTCTATAATGTCTCTTTCCTCCCTGTAGCCTCAGTCTCTTCCCTTTCATCTCTCCTGCTGACTACATGTCTGAGTCCTTTATTTCCTTTTTCTCTCTCTCTCTCTCTCCCCCCTATGTGGTCACTCTTTTTCTTATATGTGGTCACTCTTTCCCTTACCCATTTTCTCTGTCTTGTATCTCCTGGTTTGCACTCTCTTTATACTGTCTCTTTCCCCCTCTCTCCTCCATGTTTTCTTTTTCTTCTCTTCCTTCTAACTTCCTGTCTAAGTCCTTTCTTTCCTCTCTCTCTCCCTTCTATGTGGTCACTCTCACCCTTACCCATCTTCTGTTCCTTGCATCTCTTAGATTGCACGTTCTCTATGCTGTCTCTTCCTTCTCACTCTATCTCTTCCCTATCTTCTCTGCCTTCCAACTACGTGCCTGAGTCCTTTATTTCCTTTTTCTATCCCTCTCTACTATGTGGTCACTTTCTCCCTTACCCTTAACCATCTTCTGTGTCCCCTAGTTTGCACTCTCTTTACGCTGTTTCTTTAATCCCACTATCCTTCTCTTCTGTGCCTTCTAACTCTCTAAGTCCTTTGTTTCCTTTTTTCTATCTTCAGTCTCTTCTCTTTCTTCTCTGCCTTCTAACTATGTGTCTGAGTTCTTTATTATCTTTTTCTCTCTTCTATGTGGTAACTCTTTCCCTTACCCGTCTTCTGTGTCTAGTGCCTCCTAGTTTGCACTCTCTCTATACTGACTCCTTCCTCTGTCTACCCTCAGTATCTTCCCTCACTCCTTCTTCTGTCTACCCTCAGTATCTTCCCTCACTCCTTCTTCTTTCTACCCTCAGTATCTTCCCTCACTCCTTCCCTCACTCATTCTTCTGTCTTTCCTCATTAACTTCCCTTACTTGTCTGTCTATGTGGTCACTCATTTATCACCATTTACTATCACCATTTCTTGTGTATTTCCCAAAACGTGTTCACACGCTCAACATGAAGATTCCCGTTATAGTTATTGGTGCCCTTTCAGGCAGAATCACATGTTTTTTGTCCCATATACTTCAATGGGAACCCCAGAAAATGCAGATGCAGAAGGTTTAGCATGATTTTCGCAAGTTTTTGCATCTCAAAATCTCCTAGAGACCTGTGAGCAAAATGGAAGATTCAGTGTCAGAGTTTGTGCTGGCTATGGAGACTTTTGTTTGCCTGCTGAGGGCCCACTAGAACCTTTAAGACCCCAGTGATGGCCATTACAAGAACAGTGGCAAGAGGGAGAAGGCCTGGGTGTGAAGTTTTAAAGTAAAAGTGAAATTACACTCTTGCTAAAACATACTTCTTTCCAAATCAGTCATATACAGAGTATGTCAGTATATCAGTACAGATTCTTACTGGCTTCTGTTCTGTAGACACTGAGCCAGGCTATTACAAAAACTTCCTAAGACTGAAGTAAGAGAGAGCACCAAGTATGAGAATCTCCCTCATATTTAAATCAGTACCCACGTTGTAAATAGAATACTAGTTGGAGATGCAATAAGCCATTCACAGGAGGAAAAAATGAGATCTCTCTGGTGTTCTGTACAGAAACAGTTGACATGGTTGCAAGAAAGCAACCTTTAGTTTGTTTTTTGTTTTTTTGGGGTTGAGGTCTTAGAAAAAACTGCAGATGTAGACATAAAGTAAAAGGTAACTTTTTAAGATATCCAATAACAAATTGACCTGTTTAGCCATTACATACCCCGTTTTGGCAAATCTATTAGCCAAGACGGAGTTCTTCTTTAAGAAACGAGTGCCTCCATTACTGTTAATGTCACCAACCACTAGAGAGCATTGGCGGCACGATCCTCCTGTTACAGCATGGGCAGAGAAGGGCTAATAAGCAATAAAGCTTTCACGAGGTTCCGGAGTATCTTGCAGTGTGTCACGGATTTGGGCAGGTTCTCGTACTCCATTTACGGTGATATGTTTGACATCTTGACACATGAAGCAATCTCCTTAATTTGATGAGACGTCCTTTATTTAACAAATACATTATTTAGATGCTCCGTCCTCGCTGATGTATCGTTTAGCAGAAAATATTGAGATGTGTTCCGGAATGCTTGAATATCAAATTAAGTTTGAGGAGAAACATAACCAGCCAACGGTTGTAGGGGCAGCCAATCAGGACTGACCGCCAAGTTCAGGAAAAGATGGCAAAGACAGACCACTTTTGAGTGCTGACATCCTACTGGAAAAGGTTTCTTTTCAGCTTGTGACTGTCGCAGTTATAGGTTATAGCATATTATAGATCCAGTAGACTTAGTGGTGTGTGTAACAACAGATTACTTAGCATTTAGTGAATGTCCCTGATAATACAAAGCTTTCCGGTTGGTGACAAGGGATTCAATAATATATCACAAAGTTACTGAATTACTGACCATACTACGCTGAGCTATGGTGTCCAATAAGAAGGTGGGAGCTAACGATGATCAGGAAGAAGCTGCAGAGGTGACCAAAAACATTAAAGGCATACAGTAGTTCTCCTTTTGTAAAAGTGTAATACATAATTAATACAATAAAAAAGTGTCTTTATTAAAATATTAAATTGAATCCTGCAGAAACTTGCAACTACTAATCACAGGTCACAGATTCAGTGCACAGACTTGCAACCACAAATCACAGGTCACAGATGCAGTGCACAGACTCTCGCATTGTTTACCCCCCAACTGGAGGTCCATATGGAGATATGGACCTTATGTTATGAGGGTGGAAGAAGAAAACAATGGTCCTTCTGCTATGGTGACATATTCTGTGATTCCCTCTGCCGTGGTGACAAATGGGAATTAGTCTTCCCATTTACAGATCCCTGTGAATGGATGACGTGGCTGAGCGGCACAAAATTCAAACTACTGGACCTTTCAAGGAGGGGCACCCTGTGAGTCAGGTAGGTGGTTTGTGGTTGCAACCATGTTTCATGGTATACCCTAAATATGGGTTTAACATGAACCATAACCCAAAAATTGGACTATGCCTTTATGCAGACAAAACAAGTCAACAAATTGGCCTTATTGGAATTTTTTTCAACCAGGGTGTCACAGCACCATGGTGTGCATTCTGGCTTTATCAGAGGTTTCTTCAAATGTTTGCATTTTCATGGTGGAGACGAGCCAGCCACCAGAACCATGGAAAAACATAATGCTAATCCAGAGCAGGCTGTATCCAGGACCTTTCCCAACATTCAGAAGAGGATAAAAGTCCACCTCTGTCCAGACCTGCTCCACATGCTGCCCTCTTCCATGCTACTACAGCCAGCTTGTGGTGAACATTATAAGGGAGGACTCTGATCGTAAGGGGGTTGCTGATAGGAAGGGGGGCTTCTGATGTAAAAGGGGTACTTGAATGTGAAAGGGGGAGTGGCTCTGACGTAAAGTAGGGACTCTGATGTGGAGGGGGGCTCTTGATGGGAAGGGGGTACTCTGATGTAAAAGGGGAGACTCTGATCTGAAGGGGGGCTCCTGATAGAAAAGGGAGGTTGGGTTTCTGATGTGAAAGGGGGACCTCGGTCTTCTGTGAAGGAGGGACTCTGACATAGAGGGGGGCTCTTAATGGGAAGGGGGTACTCTGATTTAAAAGGGGGGACTCTGATCTGAAGGGCGGCTCCTGATAGGAAAGGGAGGTTTGGTTTTCTGATGTGAAAGGGGGACCTTGTTCTTCTTTTGTTCTTTTAGCATGTCTCTCCTTCAAATTCATAGCAGACTCCATCTAGGATAAGGGTTGTGATATACTGTAGATTTTGGTGGAACCACACAATACTTTTTACGTTTTTACACCACATTTTTTACATTTGGACCACAGTGTCTCAAGATTTAGCATAATTTTTAAAGGGTGCCATGACAGATAGAAGGTTGAGAAACACTGGAATGGAGGCTTTGACTGACATGTTGAGTCCAGAGACAGTATTTCTGTAGACACACAAACTGGGTGCAGATAGTTAGCTATAGCACAACTGCCTCTGAATGCAGCCAAATGTGAGCCCCATATCAGCCCCATATTGCCTGTCTGAATGAGGCTCAACTCATGTAATACAACCACAGGCAACATATAGGTCTTCCCTTTCTCTACCAGATTACACCCAAATATTTTCTAAAAAAGCAATGCTACTAAAGTTCAGTGTTACCAGGTGTATAACATACACTATATTACCAAAAGTATTGGGACACCCCTCCAAATAATTGGATTCAGGTGTTCCTTGAAATTTCCTTGCTACTAACTATTCCGCGGTCAACTGTTAGTGGTATTATAACAAAGTGGAAGCAACTGGGAACAACAGCAACTCAGCCACGAAGTGGTAGGCCTCGTAAAATTACACAGCGGGGTCACCACATGCTGAAGTGCTCAGAAGTCGCCAACTCTCTGCAGAGTCAATAGCTACAGACCTCCAAACTTTGTGTGGCCTTCAGATTGGCACAACAACAGTGCGTAGAGAGCTTCATGGAATGGGTTTCCATGGCCGAGCAGCTGCATCCAAGCCTTACATCACCAAGTGCAATGCAAAGCGCCGGATGCAGTGGTATAAAGCACGCCGTTACTGAACTCTAGAGAAGTGGAGACGTCTTCTCTGGAGTGACCAATCACGCTTCTCTGTCTGGCAATCCAAAAGACATGTCTGGGTTTGGCAGGTGCCAGGAGAACGGTACTTGCCTGACTGCATTGTGCCAAGTGTAAAGTTTGGTGGAGGGGGGATTATCGTGTGAGGTTGTTTGTCAAGGGGAGGTAACTCTAAGGCATCAGCATACCAAGACATTGTGGACAATTTCATGCTTCCAACATTGTGGGAACAGTTTGGGGATGACCCCTTCCTGTTCCAAAATGACTGCACACCAGTGCACAAAGCAAGGTCCATAAAGACATGGATGAGCGAGTTTGGGGTGGAGGAACTTGACTGGCCTGCACAGTCCTGACCTCAACCTGATAGAACACCATTGGGATGAATTAGAGCGGTGAGACTGCAAGCCCAACCTTTTCGTCAGTACCTGACCTCACAAATGCGCTTCTGGAAGAATGGTCAAACATTCCCATAGACACACTCCTAAACCTTGTGGACACCTTCCCAGAAGAGTTGAAGCTGTTAAAGCTGCAAAGGGCAGGCCAACTCAATATTGAACCCTACGGACTAAGACTGGGATGCCATTAGAGTTCATGTGCGTGTAAAGGCCGGCGTCCCAATACTTTTGGTTATATAGTGTATCTCCAAGCTATTGAATACTGGTTCCATTGGGAGGGACAGAGCCTGTGACGGAACGGGTTAAGATTCTATAGCACTTTTAAATGTCAGATCCTCTTTTTTTTACACGGCCATTAAAAACTCCCAACACAGACATGCAAACTAATAAAGAGCGATCGGTTTAATGAATTCAGACAAAAGCATTAAAATGTAAATTTGGTGGAAGCTCAGGTAACCCGGGTGCTGTTTTTGATATGCCAAGATTTTTGAAACTTTGTTTTATTGATTTTGCTATAACTTTGATGTTAAAATTGGATTGCTGTGATTTTCGCAGAGCCTTAGAAACGGCTGCCTTAGGCTCATTAAAGCAAATACCCCAAAAAATCATTCCGTAACAAAACAAAACAATGGCACTTAATATGACTCTCGTTGCGAGGTAAAACCTTCCTTGGGGACGGTGCACAAATGCGGTTTGGATACCTGTGTTTGACTAGAAATCAAATATTACGTATTTAGTGGGAGCTCGGAGGCGACGCCGAGGCAATAATCTCCGAGAGATATCCTGCACAAGAGAACCATTTAAGCCTCAAAGTACTTTCTCTTTTATGGCTGAAAAACAATTATATCTGTAGTTAGAGCACAAAATGGCAAAGAAATGAAATGTATCCGCTATAGATGTAAACTTTATTAGATCAGACGGATAGAACCTTGGCGCATTATTGAGCGAGCTGATCAGACATCAGCGAGTCAGTGAGAAGTCTGGGATGCAGAGCGGTGGGGCTGCCATTTTGTTTTTGAGAACTCCTTTTGGAAACACTAAAGGATCAGGGGGTGATGGGTCCCAGACAGCATGCAACTGTCCGAAAAAGGAAATATGGTTTTAACAGAGATAGAGATAGGGATTTCTCATAATTCTACACTTCAGTCTTGATAATAATCATGATGAGATGAGGTTTGAACTGGTTCTGGTTCTGGTACTGTAGGGACCGCTGTACCCTCATTATTAATCTTAAATGGGATTCTTTCACTAAAAAAGAAACCACAATGCTCATGGCAGGCACAGGTCATGTGATCATGTGATATAGGCTGTCTAGGCTTTAGGTGACACAAGGCAGCTCGGCATCAGCAAACATTTTATTTGTGGAAAGAACGGCTTAGCTTTTCTTTTACAAGTAATCAGCTCATTCATTGACAGTGACATGTTCCCACCTGACAAATTTGGAATTTTAACAACAAATAGGTAGAAAGTTCCACAACACGGAGATAAATCCGGCCAGATTCAGACTCAGCACATTGAATTCTAGGACATTTGCTCATTTCTACTTGGAGTATAAACACCTCAAAGCACAAACACAAAATGTTTCACTCGGAGTATAGAACGTGGTCGGGGGAATCAGCGGAGGTGATGTAATTTGGTAAGTTGAGAACAATTCTCACATCTCGGCTCCCCCGCTGCTCGGCGGTGGCACAACGGGCTGATATTGCGCAGGAACGGTGGCACAGTTGGCTTCTGGGAAAAAGTAACAGATGGTCTGTAATTGCAGAGGCAATATGTGACGGAGCAGATCCTCAATCCTCTTGTCTCCCTCGGACAAGGCCAGATAATCTGCCAATGCTGTGAGAGCAGCAAAATGAAACAGGATTGATCTGTTCTTATAGCCAGGAAGCACTTAGCGGGGTTCGCCTTTTGCGGCTTCAAGCCTATTACTGTTATAACCAGCTTTGTTTCCCTACAACGCGGGGAAGTGATCAGAACCCTCCACCGGGACTTACAAGGCCATCAGCACATTCTGGCTCCTGAATATTTGTAACTGCAAGGTTCGGGCTAGTGCGTCCATCATCCTGCAAATTCTGCTGTTACACTGTACGTTTATCTCAATGCTTGCCTAAGAAAAGCCGAATAATTATAAAACCCACGGCTCCTTTCCTGTCTAGTAGTTCCATATCTTGTTATTATTATGATCAAATTATTATCATTATTTATTGTTGTTGTTATTATTTATATTATTGGGATTATTACTACTAGTAGTATTATCATTTTTTTTTTTTTACAGAAATATCTTTTATTACATTTTGAACAAAGAACAGGTCGTAGGAACATACAATAAAAAACACAGAGAAGGGGGGAACAAACCACCGGTACAAGGTAGCCATAAGTGCGCATTGTATCAAATAATAACATGGCAACAATGAATACCTTCATCAAGTATGTAGGATTGCCCTAGAGCGAGACTTACCCCGTCTAGATACCTACCCCTATCAAGGGGGACTCAGGTGCAGTGTCCCATGCTGGATGAGCCCAATTCAGATGAAGTGAGCGAGGCCTTTTTATTGTTATTATTAATATTATCATTGTTATTATTATTATTATCATTATCATCACCATTATTGGCATTGTTATTATTATTATCATCAATTTTATTACTATTATTATCATTATATGCACTGGCTTCCACTCGCCTAAAGGATAAAATTAAAAATATTAACAATCACTTATAAAGCCATCCATAACTCTGCCCCCGGCTATATCTCCAACCTTGTCCCAAAATATCAGCCTAACCACCCCTTCCTCTCCCCCCAAGACCTCCTCCTGCTTTCCAGCTCCCTCGTCAACTCCTCCCATGCTCGCCTTCAGAACTTCTCTAGAGTCTCTACTAGGGATGCACCGATACCGGTATTTTGGTACCGAGTACGAGTACCGGTACCAAATTCAGGAAGCCAGGTGGCGTGTAATGACTCGCCACCTGGCTTCCTGATTAGCTGGGAAGCCGGGCAGCGTGTAAAGACTCGCCACCAGGCTTCCCGATTAACAAGAAAGTCCCCTCTTACCTTGGTATGTCCAGCCTGTCACCCCGCGGGGCCTCTCCAGCCAGAACGTGGCCTTCCTCCGGTGCCCAGCCGGAGCCATCTGGCCGGCCAATCAGGAAGCCGGGCGCCGTGTAATGATGCAACACCCTGCTAACTTTTCTCTTTACAGGTACTACTAATAGTAGATGGTTTGTGAAGGTGGGGGCTCGGAAAATGCATTTTACTGCAAGATCCGCTTTGATTGAACTTTTCTCGGTCCCATTGTTGTAAATGTTAACGGCAGCTGTTTACCAAAATGTAAATTTTTTTCCCCAAAAAATATCTGAAAGTGGTTCTTCGGAAGCATTCTTCCACCGAACTCATCTAGCGTGAATAGCGTCTTTGAATGAAAGCTTTTAAAGGCCAATTTTTGCCTTTCCATCCTCCAGACGCCACGTTCAGGTTTAAAATGTGGAGTGATTTTGAGTGATTGATTAGGGTCAAAATAAGTGTCACTCGTAGAGAAATAATAGGTCAGCCACTTCATTTCAACCTCTTATTCAAATCTCGCCATGGCTGGCTGCCTTCCTATTTATGATAAATGTCAAGTGGATGTAGCGGGGCCTACAGAATCTGCCCGGCTCACATCGGCCATGCTTCCTCTCCCCGAGCAATTTACTCGACCGAAAGCAGCCTTAGGCTTGTAAAACAGTTTGTTAAGAATTTTCAGGCCACTTTTATTGCCGCCAAAACACTTAAAGCGTCCTATTAAAATTTGTAGGTTTTGTCCGCACTGAACGCTCATCTTTTGTCAATAGAAAATCTATTAGGATTAAAGTATTGTACAAACTGTATATCTTATCTTATAACTAAACTGCAAGCAGGTGGGGCAGCACAGTGGCATCGGGGTTGCCTTGCAGCACTGGGGGTCCCTGGTTGAAATCCTGGTGAGGACACTATCTGCAAGAAGTTTGAATGAGCTAGCACCAACAGCTGAATTTGTACTTATATTAGCTTTGTGTAATTCCCTGCACAATAGCACTTAGACTGGTAGAGAGTGGGTGGGCTCCTCAGAAGAGGGCAAAGTATACTGTCACAATCTAATTATCCAATCACAGGCAGGGGCGGGTTAAATTCAGTGTATGCTGCAGTGGAGATCCAGAACCTGCTGTGCTGTCTGGCAGGGGTGTCTGGATTACAAGACTGGCTAAGCCGAATTGCAAGTGGTGCTTTAACCCCTTCACGACCCATTAAGGGATAATCCCGTCATGAAGTCCGAAGGGGTTAAACAGACAAAAGCCGCCGGGACTCTGTTCAGTTTTCTAGAGCCTGCCAGCTTTGCAGTAGAAGTGATTCTGACGGCTCAGCTGCTTCTACGATCCGGTATCCGATCCAAACCCCCCTCCCCCCGCCCGGCACGCCCGCCATGTTTCCTGGGCTCCGATGCCCCTCAGATGCCCCCCGGCTTGCCGGGTGTCTGTGGGAAACTGGGGAAGAGATCGGTTCACTGATTTCCTTCCTCTTCTATGGGACTGGGAGTGACGCGTATGGCATCCTGAAGCCCAGCAATAAGCTATTGAAGTGCGATCTGCACTTCAATAGCTTATGTAGAGTGTAAAGGTGACACTGGGGGTCTTTTGGACCCCCAGCATCACCTTAAAGAGTACCTGTCACAGCCAACATGCTATCATATAGGGGGCCTGTAAGCCCCCCAATGTGATAGCAATTAAAGTAAAGTTAAAAAAAAAACAGTTTTAAAAATATTAAATAAATTAAATGTAAAAATAAAAAAAAACATTATTTTTTAAAGTCCCTCGCCCCCGCATCAGGTGTGCCTATGTAAGAAGACGAAGATTTGTGCTACACATGTTGGGTATCGCCACGCACACCAGAATGGGAGCAATAATTCTAGGGCCAGTATTTATGCGTATCTCTAAACTGAGGACCTGTAGGGGCTTTTAACGCATCGTCTATAGACTTTTTGGGGTACTGAATTCGGTCGCAGTTTCATGGACGCATACAATTTAGAACCTGGGCATGTTGTGTATTTATTCGTTGTAACCTCATCTTTTATATTGCACAAAAAAATAGTTTTATATAGGGTTTTGGGGCACTAAATTTAACTTAAGTGCATTTCTCCCAACATTTTTGGGTTGATAAGTTGTGGTAATGTCGTGCAACATAAAAATATACAGCTGCCATCATTTTATTCTATAGGTTCTTGGCTTTCAGAAAAGATATAATGTTTAGGGGCTTAAAGTAATTTTCAGGCCTAAAATGTGGATTATAACATGGGTGCAAAAAATGGAAAAAAAAAGGCCTTTGTTCTTAGGGGGTTAAACACTCATTGCTGGAGATTGTGATGTCATTTTACCTATCAGTTTCTGACTACAAAAACAAATGATAGGTTTTCAGTAGAGGTGCCCTTAAGGGTCTTCCTGCATCAACCGTTAAAAAAAATAAAATGGTGGGAGTTTCACAAGCTCTCCTGATCTCCACAATGGACGTGATTGCTGGTAATTCCAGAAAGGAAAGAGCAAGACTTCCTAGCGTACGACATGCAGCTAATTACTATCCTAATTAAATGGCTCTTAGTATTTACCTTGGAAAACTCCACACTTGAATCTTTTGCTCCCAAGATCTTATTTATCCGTATCTGAGGCTGGTGGACTCAGGTATGCCGATAATCAGCAGGAGTTGACCCAAGTCTTACTAGAAAGGGAAACAACAGCCAATACTGTTTCATGAAGTGTACCGGTCACTGCTACCTGCTTGACAACCAAGCTTATGGGTTTTGTTTTCCAAAACACTGCTGCAGGGTACCACTGGCACCCACAAAACATTTACTATGTAAATTCTAAATTTGACAAAGGTTGAGGCTACCAGAGCACCCCACAATGAAATGCGAGACCTAATGAGAAGCACCCAGCATTATACTGCATAGTACGCTTAGGAAGTTCCTCAGCCTCCGAAGCCAGAAATTGCATACACCTGCTTGCGGGGCTCCATCTTTGGTAGTTCATTAGCTTCTCATGCTTGACAATCACACAGTGGAACATTTCCTATACAATTTTATTGAGCACTCCACATATAATATATTATATTGACACAAGATTAGCGCATCACAAATAATATAGTTTTAATTGGACTTACCCTGGAGTTCACCACTTCTAAGGAGACATTCTGAGGCATGGCGCTTGGTACTAGGGAAGAAAAGACGGACACTTAGTTTCATCACCTCTTGTACTATACAAAATTGCTGTGTTTTCTAACAATTTTGTATAACAGTCACCAACACATCAATGTTTAAAGTACGTGTAGACCCAATATCCAAAATCTTATAGTACTGTGGCTTCAACATGATGGAGCCGTCTTTGTTCTGGCATCATCCAGGGTCCTCATCTACTTCCTGGAGGGAGATGCCGGATCAGAGATGACACAATAATGTAAACCCTGGTGACTGTGCAAATCTTTGCCACAGATTAGCCCCTTCTAAAGCCTCTCACTTCTCACAAAGTTACAGAACAGTCTAAGCAATGGGGGAGAAATACTTCTAAGTAGACCCAATGACCCAAAATCGTATAGTATCTTTAAAATGTTTATGTAGTTTCTTGCTTATTCTTCAATAATTCAAATTATTCTTCAATATTTTTAGACCAGCTGTTCTCATAAAAAATTCCCGGTGAACATGCCATGAAGCTCCATTGTTCAGGCATTTCCTATATATATATATATTCTATGTATTTTATTTACAAAAAGCTATTGTTTTTTATTTACATAGAGCACAAAAATAACTAAAAGGCTGATAAAATACAAACACTATCATGTGCTATTTTATTGTCTTATTGTAATTTGGAAAATTAATAAAATACTCAAGAGTTAAAATACAAACACAACCATAAATCTGAGATGAGAGAATTCCAATTGGCATTCATCATTGCTTGGATTCCTGATTTGTGTGATTTCCTGCAGAGAGATCCGCACGCAAGGATACATTTGCAAATTGTAGATACTCCCAAGCAAGTCATCACTAAAAAAACCAACAGATTCTTTAGCAATCACAAGATAATTTGTGCTAAAAAATAATTATGATGAAAATCACTCTTATTAATTATTAGAGTGTATGTAAAGAAATTTTGGAATAGTGTGGAATGTGGAAGAGTTAGACTCTTTGTCAGGTTTTCATTGTTGTCTTTGTTCTCCTGGGGAGATTCACCCTCTCTAATTATTCTTTCAATTATTATCTTTGGTCATATAAAAGTGACTGGAAACCAAACATTTTTGAGTTGTCACCAGAACAGGAGGGGAAATATTCCCATAAGGAGACCTGTTCTGGTGCAATGGATGCATTTATTTGTAAGGGACTGCAATGGCAGTCATGTTTAGCAGTTTAATGTGACACATTTGCAAGTCTCTGACTGTGTCAGAAACCACCTGCTACTGCGCATGCGTGGGGTCCCGTTTTCCATACTACAGGTAAACAGTCACTTGCGCACGTGCGCCACGGGAACAGCAGCGCAAAAAAGCTCGCCAAATGGCACACATGAGGTGATGCTGCTTCCCAGTGGATCACCCTATTTAAACTGGCCTGCCTGACTCCAAGTTGCTGGATTGTCTTTCAGCTTCCCCTGTGTTCCTTGTGCTTCTGTTGACCTTGCTGACTTCTGACCTGGATTATCCTTGACCACGTTGATTGCTGCCTGCCCCTGACCTTCTGCTTGCTTACTGGATCTGCCTCCGTACCTCACTGTCCGACTGCTTTGACCCCTGGCTAGTTTGGCCACGATCGTGGATCCTGCTCTGCACTCCTCTCCTGGTTTTGACTTCAGCTCGGCTTGACCCGATCCAGTACCGGGACTACAGCTTGCACGGTGTGATCACCACTGGCACCTGTGCCACTCGCTGTCCACTAAGATTCTGTCCTCAACTCCAGAGTCTTTGGGACACAAGGTGCAAGGGAAGCCTCCTCCCACATTCAGTCTCCAATCAGGTACATGACATACTGTCACCTAAAGCATATTCCTAGTCTCTAACCACTTTTACAGGGTGGCTGCTATCTCTGATCATCTCCTGTAGCATGCTTCCAGTCTCCAACAACTACTGAAGTGTATGCTGTCTCTGATTCTCCTTCAGCATGTTTCCAGTCTCATATAACTTGTACAGTGTGTCTGCAGTCTCTGACTTTCTCCTGCAACATAGAAGTCTTAAGCCACTTCAGTAGTGTGTCTGAAGTCTCTGAGCTTCTCTTGCAGAATATTCTTAGTCTCCAGCCACTCCTCGAGAAGGTCTGCAGTCTCTAACCTCCTCCTAAAGCATGGTTCCAGTCTCCAACCACTCCAGTAGTGTGTCTTCAATCTTTGCTGTCTCCTGCAGCATGTTACTTCAACTACTCTTGTAATGTGTGAGCAGTCTCTCCACACCTTCTGCAGCGTGATTCCATTCTTTACCCACTCTTGGAGTGAAACTGCAGTCTCTGGCCATCTACTGCAGCATGGTCCAACTCTCCAACCACACCCGCAGTGTTTCTTTGGTCACTCATCATCTCCTGCAGCATGTTCCCAATCTCCAACCACTCCTGAAGGGTGTCTGCAGTATTTGATAGTATTATGCAGCATGTTTTCTTCAACAACTCCTGCTCTGTAACATTCTTCTGAAACAAGTCCCACTCCTGAAGTGTTTGTGCAGTCCCTGACCATCAACTGAAGCATATTCCCAGTCTCCGACAACTTCTGTAGTGTGTTTTCAGCCTCTGGCAGTGTTCTGCAGCATGATCCCAGTCTTCAACCATTCCTGTAGTGTGCCTGTAGTCCTTGACCATTTCCTGTTGCATGTCCACTGTCTTTGACAGCCTTCTGCAGATTCTCATTTTTGACAGTCTCTTGTAGCATTAAATATTCTGAAAACAATATGCTCTGCCCTTTGGTGTGTCAGGGACTAGACACTCAGAACTATTATTTTTAGTAAGTTGACCACCAATTCAAGTAGATTGGCAAGAGCAATATTTGGAGCATGCACAACATGCAGCTCACAGCAATACCCTCTGGTCACTGTATAATAAGTGATGGGAAAGCCTTTCAGATGATCTAAACCTTCTCCACTCGATCCAAAACCACAAAAAAAGGAGTTCAGCTTTAAGATTCTGTTTTTAAACAATATTTTATTTTATGTCAACCTTGCAATGGACAAATACAATGCAGAAAGAAAAGAATGTGTATTGCTTGCTGAAAACATGAAATCTGACAGGACTGTAATTAAACCTGACTTCAACTTTGATCTTTTACTGACAGCCTGCTAAGCAATCACAATGCAAGCTTTGTGCTGTGACGCTTGTCAGTTTGCGCGCACGCACCTCTGTGTGAAAACACGACCGCCTGAAAGAGTTTCTTTAAGAAAATCTATTCAGCCTGCAGTGGGGAATAAAGCTGCATGTGTCAATGTATAGAAAAGACTGTAAGGGGAGCTGAATGAAAGAATGACTTGAAATAGACCATTGTTTTAGCTGTTCCTTTTATTTATATTTGAGCTGTTGCTATATGCCAATCTCCATAGAGCTCTCAGTATACTATTTGCCAATGAAGAGAGACTGTTTGTTTTTTAAAGCAGAACTCCAGGCGAAGTTGAAACAAAGATGAGCCAGTTGGTTTGTGAGAGTAAGTGCTTGGTTTGCCCTGGGCTAAGTTTGCACGGCACATAAAATGATTACCAGTAGGTTGGATGTACAGTACAACAAAATAATTTGGTAACCGAATTAATAACAGGGTTGTTCACAAAAGGGTGAAGAGTTTGGAGAAGACAGGAGAAGTGAACAATCTAGGACAACATAGCCGAACTGGAAAGTGAGCTGAATTGGAGAATTTTTCCAAATCAGCTATGTGGTCCTAGATTGTTCTCGTCTCCTGCCTTCTCCAAACTCCTCACCCTTTTGTGAATAGACCTGTAAATGTATATGTAACCCACAGAGGAATGGGAGGGAATGCAAAGGTAGTAGAAAGCAAATGCAAATAAACAAAGAAAGCAATGAGGAAAAGAATAAGGAAAATGAAATGAATGAGGAAAGGAAAGTGAAAGAGGAAAGGGAAGGAAAAGAGATAAGGAAAGGAAAAGAAAGGAAAATAGGAAAGGTAAGGAGAAGAGGAAAGAAGAGGAACGGAAAAGAAAAGAGGAAAGGAATGTGAAAGAGGAAAGGAATGTGAAAGAGGAAAGGAAACAAGGAAAGGGAAGGAAAGGAAAAGAGGAAAGGAAAGGAAAAGGGGAATGAAAGGAAAGCAAAGGGGAAAGGAAAAGGAGATAGGAAAAGGGAAAGGAAAAGAAAAGAGGAAATGTAAGGAGAAGAGGAAATGAAAAGAAAAGAGGAAAGGAAAAGAGGAAGGGAAAAGAAAAGGGGTAAGGAAAAGAGCAAGGGAAAAGAAAGTGAAAGAGGCAAGGCAATGAATAGAGATAAGGAAAGGAAAAGAAAGGTAAATCGGAAAGGTAATGAGAAGAGGAAAGAAGAGGAACGGAAAAGAAAAGAGGAAAGGAATGTGAAAGAGGAAAGGAAAGGAAAAGAGGAAAGGGAAGGGAAGGAAAGGAAAGGAAAAGAAGAAAGGAAAAGGGGAATGGAAGGAAACCAAAAGAGGAAAGGAAAAGGAGAAAGGAAAGGAAAAGGGAAAGAAAAAGAGGAATGGAAAAAATTGAAAAGGGAAGGAAAAAAAAAGTAATGAAAGTCATAAGAAAAGGAAAAAAAGTAGAGGTAAAAACAAAAAGAATGGAAAAAGGAAAATAGAGAAATTGTAAAAAAAAAAGGAACTAAAAGGAAAAATGAGTGGAGAGAAAAGGAAAAGTAAAGGAGGAAAGAAAATAGAAAGTGGGAAGGAAAGAACAGTAAAATAAAAGGTATGCAAATAAAAGGAAAAGAACGGAAAGAAAAAGAAAAAATTAAAGGAAAGGAAAAGAAAGGGAACTCTTAGTATATCAATCAATAACCCCCCAAAAATCTGATACATTTTGATACAATTACTCCTCAGAATGAATATGGAATTTCACAGCAGCTTTGAAATGAAACATGCTCAATAAACATTCTTGCTTTTGATAAGGTGAGAGATCAAGTACCGACAGCTGGCTCACAACGCTACCTGCCGAGCCAGTGTTCAGAATGACACCTGCCTGGCAGTATAGAAAACATTTCACACTGTGGGAATCTTGGTGTTCACACAGTTTCTTCTACCTGCTAATGAGATTGTGCTAAGAATTACACATTTGCAGGAATGTGTTTTTATAAATGCCATAAAGTGTCATGTAGCCAAAGTATACATTTTGAGTAAAGAGAAAATAACACATATTAGACCGTTTGCTCGCTTTGCTAAACAAAGAGCACGTAGATAAATACAATAAGTACACTGATAGCTTACATTAAAATAGCTGTGGATACTCTAGCTGCCTCCACAAGCAAACCCCTGTGTACACTTGTTTGCATGCACCGATGTGTGGGGGCATAACTGGGATGTCAGCAGCAGATATAGCAACCTAAGTATGGAGGCTGGAAACCAGTACAACTAGTTTCTTGGAACTGATCACTGTCATGATACTAAGTACTCTCTCTTTCACACTCTTGTAAGAAAGTATAAAGAGGCAGCAAAATACCCAAATGACCAAAAGGATGGAGACTGGTGGGCTGAGTCAGCCTGTGTTTTTTTGTGTGTGGAACATTCTAACAGTCAGATCTCCCTGCTATAATTTCCAACTCTGTTCCTGTCCACCTAGTCTTACTTCCAATCTTCAGATCTTTATAATATATAAGGGGAATTCTTGTCAACGGGGATAAGGCAACTGTAAAAATTTGATAAAAGTTCCAATATTTCCTTATCTAAAAATTTGCCCTGCTAGAGAAAATGGATCATTATTACAGTTATGGGTTTGCTTGCTCTGTATCAACCGAGAGGTTTTGAAGTTTCAAGGTTTATGAACTTAATGGATACATGTCCTTTCAACCTATGATGTACCTATGTCACTTTTTCAATACTAGCAAATTACAAGTTACTGCAATAATGTCATTTCAGGCAATACAATGAACCACTCTTACCATCTGATAAGGTCATGATTGCGTGTTCTTCTGTTGAGACCCCAGGGCCGTAACGATTGTAGGCCAGAACTCTTATACTGTATTCTGTAAACTTCCGAAGGCCTTCAAGTCTGTAAGAAAGTCCATCAACTTCGATGTTCTGTGAAAAGAGGAAGAAGGATAGTTACTACCCATAATTCACTAATCTACATTCACTATGGACAACTTACAAACTGCATTTCACTATATACCAAATAGGGCACTAAGTAAGTATTGCCAGCTGTGATATGAATATGTTGTTAACTCTGAAATTCTGTTTGCCCCATCATTTTCTTTTCTTTCCAACATCGATCATCCCTTTTCTAATACCCTTTTCTGTTTACGGAACATGACCATGAGGGCTATGATTTAACCCAAATTAGCCAAATGTAGAGAAAGACAATTAAACCCATGAGCATAAAGGTTAAAACCCAACAGCAGCCAAACATTTTTTGAGTTTCATATATAATGGGGAAGGTTCTATTCCTAACTCTCTGTTGGATTTCATTGTTGACTTGGTTCCAATCCGAGAGATTTCTCCTCGTTTCCTGTCCCAGTTATGGGAACAAGGACAACAACCATTTTGTTTGTGCAGTGGTAAAGGGTTAGAACCTGTGTCACGATATATTGCTGTCTGTATTTTCCTCTTCCACGACATATGACACACCTCATTGTCCTGGTGTCACTGATTTACCAGAGGGGGCAGGTCCACTTTAAAGATGCCTCATTTTGTCACTGCCACCTGGAGTTAATCACTAGAAGCTTTAATATGGAAAGGGAATTTAGAAATTGTTGACTTTATTGGCTGCACTCTTCTTAGCAGCCATGGTGCCTACACATAAAAAAACAAGTGAGCAATGGGCACTGACATGGGAAGTAGCGATGTCCAGATACCAGTTCAGATACCATTGCCGATACTTGGCATTTTCATGAGAACTACCAGAGTTGCAGAAGTTGCAGCTGGGACCTGGCTCTGGCGTTCCATCACTGTCCTGAAATCATTAGTCTATTGTTTTAGAAAAAAACGTACAAATCCCAGGAGCTCTGTGTGCTCCTTACAAATGACAGCTGCCTCCTAACTTTTGAATTTTTCTCTAGTCTATTCTTGGAGCTCGAAAAGTATCTGTACTTGTACTTGTACCGAGTACGGTACTTGGTATCTGAACATCCCTAAATGGGCAGTCCAATTTATTTCAATGCTCCCTGTAAGGCAGTATAGAATATGTTGGTGCTTGATAACTCAATCACGTTGCTAAACAAAATGTAAAAAAAATGCCTTTTACTGCAAAAAAATCTTATATAAGGAATATTTGGTCTATGACTCATTAGAGTATTGAGGTGTGGTGTCCCTGAGGTCACGGCTTTCAGAGGTAATTGTAATGTGCTATAAGTCATCCTCTGTCTATAGTAATCGTAACAATGATCTGGGCTGGTGTTGGGACTGTCACTGATCCCTCGTGGGTGATCACTACATGGTAAGGCTCAATACTTAATGACATAACAGATCATTTTGGTTTCAGGATTATTAAATTCATTTACGCTTCACAGCAATTATGAGATCGCCGGCCCTAATAGGACCCGTTACTTTCCACACTTTCATCTCTCTCTTGACTCCGACTTGATATTAAAGACTTTGATTTATGACTCTGCAGATGAAAGTTAAGATACTTTAAGATTGCTTAAGCGGAATATCAATGAGACTTTTTAAACTAAAGGGAAAAAAATGTTCAAGACTCTCTGATATAGATTATATAACAGTCCTAAAGCCGTGGTGTTAAAAAAAATGTCTCAGAGAGCTCAGAATGGCGTATAAAGGGCACGATTCTGACCTTACAAAGGAAAAAAAAAACATTTGACTGCAGCAGTTAATTGGTATCTCCAACCAAAATGTTTTATTTCTAGTTTTGGATAAAGTGGGAAAGGGTTAGATCCGCTCTGGGTTTTTTTTTTGCCTCTCGTGTCCTTGTTGGGTAGAATTGCCCTCTTTTTGGGTCTTCTTTATTTGCCACTGTTACCAGGATAGATAGTAATGTATAATACATTTATTTTTGGGTGCAACTGGAACAGGAATTGAGGAAAAATCTCGATGCAAGGGCACTTGTTCCTGTGACAAGTGTCTAGAGGGGCTATCCCTTCACTTTAAAGAGATTTTCACTTGTTTCCCATCCAGCCTTCTGTTCAGTAACTGGAACAGGGAATTATGGAAAGTTTCCTGAAATAGACAAATTACCATTATCTCTATAAAAGTAAAAAAAAAAAAAGCTAGCAGTCACACTCAAATGGATTTGCTTAGTAATGCTGAAGATGTTTCTTAGCTTATCCAAGACATTTTTTCAGTTCTAATGAACTGAAGATTGGCTTGGATAAGCTATGGAACGTTGTCAACATTACAGAGCCAGTCCAGTTGAATTAGGCTAACTACTACAAGCTTTTCTATGATCTGGATAAATTAGAACCTGCACAGACTATGAAAATAATGAAAGATTTCTCAAAATATATAAGATACGCTTTAAATACAGCCAGGTTTTAAAGTTTCTCATGACAACAAATAAGCAAACAAACACAACAGACCATGACCCCCCCCTCCCACACAAACACACACACACACACACCTTTTCCCTCATAGCGTAGTTGAATTATTTGTTGGCCAATAAATACATTATTTTTTCATTGCCTTTAACCTGGTAACAACGCTGCTTATTCTGCGGAGAATACACACAGCAACATTGCCACTCTGTGGTCAGGGTAGTCTTAGATGGACATATAGTTTTAAATGTACTTTAGGCGACATACAATTTATAGCCCATCTCCAGATAACATGTTTTAAGCCATTACAAAAATAGTTGTTTTCTTTTTTTAAATCATGTGAATAAAAGCTGACTGTTGTAAGCACCCTTTATTACTGTTATATTGGTTGTCCTAACCCCTGTAACTGTCTCTATTATTGGGCAGCCTGATCTGCTTGTAAAATGTGGAGAAAAATATGAAAAAAAGACATGAAATATAAAATGAATCCATAGTCAGAATACTATTATTATGACTATTAATCTTATATAGAAACCACAATATTGAATACAATAAATACAAAGTTTTCACTATAGTGGTCCTTTAAGTATGGCTTGAAGGCTAGCATATAAGCTGACCTTGCATTTTCATGCTGCTATAAAGACATATCTTAATACCACCCTTCTAAAAAGCCTTCCTGACTATAAATTATATTTTTTTAAAAACGACCTTCCTCTCCACCTTTGTCTTATACATAGGCGTATTGTGAAGCTCAGAGTGACTTGCCCGCCACATGAGCAATTTAAAAAAAAGACAAAAAAAGGCAAACCAGCTCGACAAACATTTGCTCGGCTCTTCCATCTTTCCATCTCTCAGTATGAAATCGTCTATAGATATTTATCCATCATCAGAGAATGCGTCCATTAGCTCCTGTTCTCCCTCATTTCTTCCCTAATGTTCGCCCGCGTTTTAAAAGCAAACCGCGCACCGTGTAAGTCCATCTCCGGCTGATCACTGTTTTATGTCCTTCCGGAGATGTGACCTCCACATCAGAATGGAATTACTTTAGGCTCAGCCTGGCTAATGATCTACAAAGATCTCCAAACCCCAGCTAATCGCTAACAGGGCCAAGCTTGTCTGCCCTAATAGTGTACAGGGTCTCAATGTACCTATTGCTTAACATCATTATTGGATATCATCTCATTGTGTCTTTTAAAGACATTTAGCTGACACTTATTAGCTATCGCATATAGCCGGCGTCCCTTGTTAATGATGGGAGTGGGCTCACTCAGCGTCCCCAGCACAGTGACCGCACAGTCACATCTCCCGGCCACTGTTTAGAATCGCATGATCAATCTGACGGTCAATCACAGTGATCAAGAAGCCCACCTCGCCCCTACTGCTACAAACCCCTAAATGGCCAGCTCCCGACGGCTGAATGGGGTTAAGAGCAGGTTCAGACTAAGGTGTATTATGTAGCTTTTTAGCTTGCATTGAGGAAGCCCAAACATGTTGAATGGTCAACCACCATGCCTTGCCATGTTTTAATAGACCTGTAGCTTCTTTTCTGATGTAGTGCACAAAAAAGGAGGGTTTAAATCTGAGCATTGCAGGGACGTGCGGTCAGGGAAGGCAGGTGAGGCAGAGCCTCACCTAGTATTGTGAAGGAAAAAGCTGTCAAGTCTGAAGCTGACAGCTTTTTCTCCATTCAGATCGGCTTCTAGCAGGTTACACAGCAGGCAAAGCCTCCCCACTGTGTAACCTGTCTTGGACGGAGTGCTGACTGTTAATTACAGGCAGTGCTGCAGCTGGCTTTTGACAGATAGTTAGGTTACACAGCAGCGGACTTCCCCACTGCTTGTGTAACCTAACTAGTGAGGCAAGAGCTGTCAGAGCCTCTACTCTTTGTTAGAGGCGTGAGCTCTGTGGATGGTTTGGACCAATGCCAGAGCGCCATTGGTCCAAGCAAAAAAAGAAAAGATAAAAACCACTGAGGCCATGGATCTCGATGCCTCAGCAGTGACAAGCAAGTGAGGGACAGGGAGGTTCCTCCCTGTCTCCTCCCTGTCTCCTCCCTTCCTCCTTCACACTAGTCGGGGCTTCGGATGGGGGCGGGGCTTCGGTGGGATGTGAGTGGGGCGTCGGCATGCTGGGGGGCAGGACTGGGGAATCCCTCACCAAGAAACAAAGGTACCGCACATCACTGGAGCATTGTGTTTGTGCTAAAATGCCCATTCATTGTGGTGCACTGGCTACGTGTGTCGGGGTGCCGTTCCAAAAAATTGCGCAATACCACAATCCACACATGTAAATGGAGACTAAAGTATTAAAATAATACTCCAAGCCAAATTCATTCTTTAATATTCAATCTGCATTTTTAATGTTTGGGTTCAATCTTTAGATGATTAAAACAAAGACTCAGGACTTGGAATTATAATTTGATGAGAGCTCACCTGTTCTCTTCCTGAAATAGTTTCTGTACACAGAACTCTGTAGCCTTGAACAGGGCCGTTCGCGTAAGCTGGCGGTTCCCAGGAAATCAGAATTGATGTAGGAGATGTAGAGACCACCTGAAGATTTTCTACTGGTCCTGGCACTTGTACTGGAAAATATAAAATAAAAATAAAAAATTAACTTGACACTTATCTGTTGGAAAATGCACCATATGTTCTATATAGTATATGCAAGTACAGTTAGGATAATAATAATAATACTAATTATTATTATTCAGAATTTATATAGCACCAACAGTTTGCACAGTGCTTTACAATATAAAGAAGACATTAGTTACAATACAAATCAAGACAAGATGGTTAAGAGGGCCCTGTCCATGAGAGCTTACCGCCTAAAATGGTTAAAAGCAGAACTATGAGGTGAGTGAAAATCACTCATCCTCATAGTTTGAACCGACCTGTGACAATGAAACTGTCACACGTCGGCTCAATAGATCGGGAAGTGAGCGAACACATACCGTTGCTCGCTCACTTCTCGATCATCTCCCTGCAGAGAGTGGTGATTGTCAGTCACCGCTCCCCGCAGACATTCCCCCCCTCCCCGCTCAGATCCTGCAGAGCTGACTGGAGGAACGAACGGTAGAGGGGGCGGGTACAGCTGACTCTGTCTCTAGATAGGCAGAGCCAGCTGTCATTCACGCAGCTGGGTGGATCTCGACAGCATTGTCTGGATCCGTCCCGGCTGCGGCGTCTCAGTATACCATGAGCTTTAGCTAGCGATATACTGAGCTTTGGGTCACGGGAGGAGGTTAGTATATGTCCTCCTGTAACCCTAAAGAGTACTATGGGGAAAAACACCCTGTAGTTCTCTTTTAATGGAAAATATTTTTTTAGACATTAGTCATCTTAAATAGCAACATATTTGCTGGACAATAAAGGAAACCAGCCAAAGCAATACAAGTATATAAATAAACATGCATAAAAATAACCATATATTATTAAACAGAGATTGATATAAATAATCACGAGTGTGAACTACTGTCATGTTATTCTTTATCTAAGTGTGACAAATAGCCATTCATTATGTCATCTTCAAATATTTGAAGGTATAATAAAATGCCATTTCTTGATATTTGAAAGCACAGAAGAAAATTTCAGTGGATGAAAATGTTTTGGAAAAGGATTGTAATTTTGGTCTTCCAATTGAAGTTTCAGTTTAAAACAGCAAAATACATTCCAGATGCATCAACACAAAATGTGTGCAAAGTTTTTCAATTCGTTTTTTTTGTGTAGAAAACAGATACATTCTGAGTAGAATTGCTAGTCCCCTGCCAGCATGCTAGAGATGATCCTTGCTGTGTGTGGAAGCAGCAGTCTCTCTGCAGAGGTCCAATAGCAGAGGTCCACCATGCCCAAACCCCGCCCACCCCCTGCTCCAGTCAGAGCTAGAGCTTTCCGATTTTCAATCTTGCTGATTGCAGAGATACAGAGGACATGATTTTTTGCTCAGGCTGTGGCTGCTTTCTAAAGAAAACAAACTGTAATGCTAAACAAACTGTAATGCTTTACACCCCTGGAATGTATTAAGCTACTTTAATTTGAGATTCATTTGGGATGAAAACTAAACTCCAGCCAGTATGCTTTGTTTTTTCTGTGTATATAATGGGGTAATGATTAAAACCTCTTTCAGGTTCTTACTGCTGCCTGTGGCCCCACTGGCTAGATCTGGGTGTCCCCTAGGCAAGAAGTAATAGGACTTTTTTTAAATTGGAATACAGAGAGGAAAGAAAAAATTCTAGTAATGAATGGGAAGGAGAGAACATGATGGCCAATCTTGCAGGCAGTGATACAAACTGACAGAAGTTCTAACCCTTATCTCCACTAAAATGGAAAAGAAAAAGCTTCTGCTGCAGTTGGGCTTTCATATAAACTGTATACGCACACATGTATGTAATATTCTAATGATTGTAAGCAAGAAGAATGATTTCAAGACTAAATTATAATGCAGCCATTTGTATGCAGTAGAATAGAGTTTATTGTACCCCTAACTGTATTGTCACTCTAGCTGGCTGAGCTGTGGCACGGCCCCATGTGTTTAGCGATTTTCCATATTGGTAGTGGTCAACAAACTGAACTGCAAAAAAAGGATTATGCACAGGTGTCTTATATAAAATGCCTGGCCCTAGATACCTAGCCTAGATACCTGGCCTAGATACCTGGCCAGGCCTTATGTGCTTGGCAGGATCCCTGGCATTAGGTGCATGGCCCTACATGACTGGTCTTATACACTGAACTTTAGATGCCTAGCCTTAAGTGTTGTGCCTTAGATGCCTGACCTTAGGCTTTGCACCTTAGATGCCTGGTCTCAGATGCTGGGCCTTGGATGCCTGGTCTTAGGTGCTTTGCCTTAGATGCCTGGTCTTAGGTGTGGGGCCTTAGATGCCTGGCTTAAGTGGTTGTGTCTTAGATGCCTTGCCTTAGGTGCTGTGACATAGATGATGGGCTGTAGGTGCTGAGCTTTAGATGCCTGGTCTAAGGTACTGTGCCTTAGGTGTCTTGCCTTAGGTGCTGGGCTTTGGATGCCTGGCCTTAGTGCTGGGCCTTGAATATCTGGTCTTGTGTTTTGGGCCTTAGATGCCTAGCCGTAAGTGCTGTGCCTTAGATGCCTGACCTTAGGCTCTGCAAATTAGATGCCGAGTCTTAGATGCTGGGCCTAGGATGCCTGGTCTTAGGTGCTTTGCCTTAGATGCCTGGTCTTAGGTGCTGCGGCATAGATACCTGCTGGTGCTAGGTCTTAGATGCCTGATCCTTGGTGTTGTGCCCTAGATGATGGGCTGTAGGTGCTGAGCTTTAGATGCCTGGTCTAAGGTACTGTGCCTTAGGTGTCTTGCCTTAGGTGCTGGGACTTGGATGCCTGGCCTTAGGTGCTGTGTCTTAGATGCCAAGACTGAGGTGTGTGGCCTTAGATGCCTGGTCTTAGGTGCTGTGTCATAGATGCCAAGACTTAGGTGTGTGGCCTTAGGTGCCTGGTCATGGGTGCTGTGTCTTAGATGCCAAGACTTAGGTGTATGGCCTTGGATGCCTGGCCTTAGGAGCCTGGCAATAAGACATACATTACAACATTATCTGGGATCAAGCTGTCTTGCCAATGGTCCTAATGCAGCATTGATCCCGGATGCTCAGCCAGCTATAAAGCATCTCTACCATGAATATAGGTGTAACCCCAACCCCCAGCAGTTAAACTAAGCAGGTGGCAGTCTTGCTTCCCAGATTACAGCAATTAAATAATACATTTAACCTCATTAAGTCACAGTAGCTATTTCATCCCACATATTTTCAGTGCCCCCTAGCTTTAATCCTACGAATTTGATTAACAGCCTCCAAAAAAAGGCACATTAAAAGGAAAGGACATTTTTACAGTTAATTGGATTTTCTGACAGTAGGAATGGAAAAAACCCAACATAACAATGCTAAATGAAGGCCGGAAACCTAGAAGATTTATCAGTAAGGAGATGATTTAGCTGCCCATTGTGCTTGATTATAGACCCTGCGTTCATCATTTCATAGTCATTATTTTGCTTTGTTTTCTCTTATACCCCATATGGATACAGTATATATTGCTGCTTTCATCCCACAATCAAAAAGCCAATGGTTGACTTTTTATTTTCTAGAAAATCACATTGTTTTACACTAGTTACTAGTCTGTTTTCAAGCAAAAAAAAAAAAGCACATTTAAAAAAAAAAAATAGTTGGCTGAAAGATCTGTCAATAATTGGTTCCTTTTCTTTCACCCAAACTTTTCAATAAAAACACAAGACATGGATTTAATTGGAAATAACAGAGATTTTATCATAACAAAAAAGAACCAACAATGTTTTAATATGTTTTATTGTTATCTGTCCTATTGTGAGCTGCACTTCAGCCACTCGAATACCTCCTTTTGAAATCCCCACACAGGGACCACTATAAGCACCAAACACCAGATGTCTTTATTCCATCAAATGTGCACCATTTACCAAAACTCTTAGGGGGTTATTCACAAAGCTGCCAAAGGCAGCCGAGTGAATAACCGAGCCGAAATAAAGTGAGCCGAACAACGTTCGGCTATTCACTACAGCTCAGTACGGCTGATTTCAGCCATACATCAGCTGCTCTTCTGGATCGGCTGAGCCGGAGCTCCAGCAACTCACTCGCTGCCGTTCGCCCCTATTCCCAACTGTTTCCTATTGGCCGGCACCTGCTAGAGTCTTCTAGCAGATGCCGGCCAATGAATACCAACTGGGCGGAGACGGCCGTGACGTCATGTTATGTTATTGTATAAAGACAGATCAGCGTCCCTAGGTCATTTGGGGAAGCTGATCTGTCATTTGAGGGGCTTATGACCGGCCGTTCGGCAGGCCATTCGCCCAGCTTCGGCTGACACTTTGGCTCAGTTGAACCGAAGCATATGCCTTCGGCTTGACTGAGCCGCTCGGCTGCCTTTGGCTGCTGTATGGGCTATAGTGAATAGCCCGTACGGCTCCTTTGTGAATAACCCCCTTACTGCTTTATAAATGCCAAAGACATTGCCCCATACCCACTTAGCTCCCTGATGACAAAATATTTTATGAGTGGACAGGTGGGACAACTTTCCAGCTCCACAGATCTCTTTGGAATGGCCATGCCTAGACTCACATTTGCAAACAATCCCTGAAACAATCCCTATGAACGCTGACCATCTTCTAGACGGTTACTTCTAGATTAGTCACCAGTATTGCCTATGGTCTCCCTGCCTCTAATCTTTTTCCATTACTGAATTACAATGCCTTGTTCTGCACTGTGTCTGTGTGGAGGTGGCCAAATTTGTAGAAGCAGGACTTTGCTTCCTCATATCACAGCCTCCAGAAAGGAGATCAGTGTGCGGCACAGCTGTGACATCACCAAATCTTTAATGAGATAGAGAAGGCTTGTCGCATTCCTTACCGGAAAGCCCCGTATTCGGAGATGGGTGCTTGGAATGACTGCGGATGGCTCCGCAATTTGCAACTGATATGAAAGAAATGTCACCAGCACACCAGAATCCTTCAAGGATGATCAATCGTGGATTTATTGAAAACTCATGTCAAAAACACAAACGTTTTCGGGGCCGCACAGGGTCCCTTCATCAGGC